CAACATCAACGGCTAAAAAATGATTCTTATTGTCACTATCAACTTACGAGTCCTTTCAACTCAGGCCATGATTGTCTCCTGCAGAATTAATAAACAAAGTGTGTTTTTAATTTATATGGTCAATGGCAACAATTTATTCACTTTCAAAACAGGCATCAGTAATATTACAAAAGTTATCTTAGTAAAATATTCACATATTATCTAAGCACTTTTTATTGTAAGTTAATAAATTAACCGTCAGGGAACTATTAAACAGACTGTGTTTCATAAAACAAAATGTTATTAATAAACGGTGTTCAAACAAATTGATAAGAAGTGATTGTTTTCAATCACATTATTAATATTATTATTTATAATAACATTATTATTTTTAAACCAACATTGCCATTTTAAAATTAAAATTTAACTTAAAATTTAAATGAATGCAAAAATAATTGCAATTAAATAAAATAATCACAGTTTTCATTTAATTGCTGGATGAACAAACAGATGAACTAACTCCTCGGCGTAGGCCACGTAGCAGAGAGCGAGACAAATGAGGGCTACCTTGAAGTTCATTTTGTCGATCTGGATATGGATCTTCTTCAAAAATGGATGTTTCAAATCACTCAAGCGTCTGCTTATATAGAATTTTAGATTCGCTCGTGTCCGTATATGTATTTTCACCGTTGTAGTTACTTAACCCATTGATTTCAACTTTCACTTTCAAGTATCATCCTAACAACTTGCCTGTCTTTGCACTTCATCCCGCTGTTGACATTTTGAAATAAATATAAAAACATGCCAATTCAGATTTACATATTTTGAGAGGGATAAAATAAATTTGTTTGATGTTTATGTTGTTCATGAGTATTTTGGTTTTTTTTTTTAAAGAATAACACTCCATAATGTTATTTCATCATTTCAATGATTCCAAGTTCAAGAACATCATTAAATTTTCCTTTGAAAATATTCAAATTATAGTTTTTTTAAGATCAATAATATTTTAATGATTAAAACTTTGAATAGAAGATGATTATGTAAATTAAATGAATTAAATGTTTGACACAAAATTACACGCATCTTTTTTCGAGTGGATTCTTCAAAATCATCAGATCTTAAAAAGTAATTTTCAAGATCTAAATTTAACTTTTAATATTTGGTTGATTTAATTTTGTTTATTCAAAAGAGACCTTTTCAACTTGGGAAATCAAATAAACAATGCCACATTGATGAACAATTCAACTTTCAATGATACTTTCAACTCTACAGTTTGCAGTCTACATGTAAAATTATCACTAAATTTTACCACGTTTGAAAAGTTCCATGAAATATTGATGCTGATTTGACGTAATAAATCTTAAACGGCAATGACGTAACGCACCTATATCTTTTATTCAAATTTAGCTAAACATTGTTGTTTTTAAGGGTTAAAACCAAAATTTATAAATTTTTCATAAAGATTTTGTTAGATTTCAATTTAACCCCGACAAAAATGTCTATTTTGAAGGGGGCTTCAGCCTCAAGCTCCACTGATTAAGCCTAAGATGAACATTACTTCTCCCATTAACTCAGGCCATAAGTTCGACTAGGCCAAATGGTGGTTGAATATTTGAGGTTAGGGTAATGGTACAACGTTGTTCGTATAAAATAAGTTTATCATTATTTTAGTCAAGTTTTACTTTAAATGATTATAATTCAAAAGTTGTTAAACTCTAGATTTGTTAAATTATTAAAAAAATTATGTGGAACAAACAAAACTTTCTAATTTATCTAATGTAAAACTAACGAACAGATTGTATTTGGACCAGAAACAATTGAGGTTTGTTATGTCTGCAGCTGCACATAAATTTTCACTTGAAAAAATGTCAAACTATAACAAAAATCTTTAACTATTGATTCTTATCTTATTGATGAAATCGTTTCAGGTATTTAAAAAGTTATATTACCAAATATTGCATTACACAATGTTATTATGTTATATAATATTACAACAGGTTGGATTTTATTACATTACAAAACACTACACCACACTACATCACACCACAATTGATCAATAAAATCAGCACCAACCATTCGACGTCGACACAACAAACCACATAATCATTGTTGCTCGAGAAAATGTCTCACATGTAACCATTGTACAAATATTGACACCGAATCCGAATTTTACCTATACTATTTGTAACATTACGTTTCCTATATAACATTTTTAAAACTTGGCAATTAAGAAGATATAATATGTTGTTGTAAGCTAATCTTCATAATCACATTTTTAACACATAATGTAGAAACACAACTCAATGATCACACAAGCTGCACCCACTGTAATGAACAACATTTTAAACAACTTTTGAATAAATTTTGAATAAAGTTTTGTGCTTGTATCGTTTGTTACAACATGAAAATGCAGTTAAAGAAAGTGTTGTAAGGAACGTGGCTGTAACTTTTAAATAGGACTGAAGATGTCAGTAGACAACAATTTTTTCAAACTGAACATATGACGGATATTTCGTGTTCATCAAACTGAAAATTTATTTGAAGATCAAAATGAAATGCACAATTTATTTTAGGATACCTACTAATTTTATATCAAGAGTTGCTGCTTTTTAAATTTTAAAATTTAACTTAAAATAATTTTCTAAGAGTTTTTAAAATTAATTTTTTTTAGTTACACGCAATTGTTATTTATAATAAATGCAGTTACAAATATTTGAGTAATATTTTTATCCGATGGTTGGAGTGATGTTGATTGTGACGTTTCATATTCATACCTCTCGTTCAATTGCCCAAACACAGGAGTGTCGAATTTTTTAGTGTAGATAATTAAGAAGCAGTTGTAACAGGTGAACATGCTAAATAATATTGATATGTAGCACATTTAAGCAGTTATGCCTTTGTCGATATTACATGAATCAGTAATTATTATATACAGTTGGACTTCATTTTAGCGAACTTCTATACAAAGAATATTTTTAAATAATTTATTTTTTAAGTTCCTCAGAGTTTTACATATTTTGCAATTTATAGGAATGTTGATATTTTAGCATACCGTTTTTATATCAAGAATTAACAAACAATTTAATGATTAATGAACAAGAATTACATGTATCTTAAAATTTGGGATAGTTCGATCATATCATAATTTTTTTTTAGAAAAATTAAACGCTTCATAATCAGTTAGCAGTAAATTTTCAATTTCTTTTTGGAAATATTCATCCTACAATCGGAGTCTCTTCGACAGCCTGTCCATCCTTGGAAAGGAACAATCTGATTCTGTCCATTTGTAGGTCCTTCGTCACTGGATGGCCAAAAGGAATCACTTCTATCTGAATATATAGAATCGAATGCACGTTTTAAAATCTGCGTTCAAAATTTTCTTTAACTTGTCAACCAAATTCTGAATTAAATTTTTATGAAATGCTTAAGATTATTGAGGCAAACATTTTCAAGAGCTCTGACCTTGAATTGGGGAAAGTTTACTTTAAAGTACCCCTTCACAACTTCAACGTACTGTTTATGTTTGTGGGAAAGTAATTTTTCAAGTGTAATAAAATAATAATAATAAACAATAATTATAATTATATTAATAAATTATGGCGATTAAAACACATTCGCAACAAGCTGCTTTTAAATTAATATCATCTATATTTTTACTTTATATTGATTTATCTATTTTTATTTATTTGTTTGACTCATTTATTTATTTTATATAATTTTATTTGCCATGACCCATCTCATATAGAAGTAGAAAAGTTCACAGCAAGTAATGGCAACCTACTGTTCACAACTTTTGCCAAGAAAACCATCGACAAACACAAACCAAATCAAAATACAGATAATCCGACGAGGGTAATTAAAGTTTTTTTGTCACACCATGCGGAAAGAAAGAATGGAAAATTTAACAACTACTGGAAAGATTGCAGGGAAAAGAGATTAACAATGAATAACATTTGTTAAGTCCTTGTGTCACTTGTTGAATATCACCACATTTCAACTACTACAAAGTGTTAAAGATAGGGTTTTGTGGAAGTCGATGGTCGCCAATGTCCTGAAAGGATAGGGCACGAGAAAGAAGAAGATATTTATTTATTTTACCTCGCCACGAACGTTTGCCTAGTATCATCATCTAATTTCATTTTTTTTCATTTTCAACATTCTTAACTATTGGCAACTCTTTATAAAATTATCCCACTAATCATAATCATTATATTTCATACCTGCTCACAGTACTGAAACTTCTTTACTTAAAATACACAATGATATCCTTCTCTCTAGTGACAATAGTAATCTTACTTTTCTTCTTGATCTTAACTTTTCCTCGGCTTTTGATACTGTTGACCATACTATTTTCTTGAGACTGCTGCATCTTTCTTTTAATATTACTGATTCTTGTCTATCTTGGTTTTCTTCTTATCTCTGTAATCGTTTTTCTTCTGTTGTTCTCAATAATTCTACTTCTAACTCCTCTACTCTTACTTTCGGGGTAACTCAGGGTTCTATCCTTGGCCCTCTTCTATTTATACTCTATACTTCTGAACTACCTCGTATTATTAATAACTTTTCTTTCTTTAGTCAACTATATGCTGATGATTCTTACATTTATACTTCTTTTCCTCCATCTAATCTCAATAGTGTTTTTCATAATTTATCTCTATGTCTTTCTTCAATTATCGCTTGGTCTGACTCTATCCTTCTAAGTTTGAATTAATTTGTTTTAATATATCTAAACACTCTATTACTATTCCTCCTCTTATCTTACCTGATTCTAAAACTCTTGATGTCTCTCATAAGTTTCGTAGTCTAGGTTTTATCGTTTTATCTTTGATTCTACTATGTCTCTCTCTTCTCAGATTAATAGTGTTGCTTTCATCTACATAGAATAAAAAAACTTTTGCCTTTTCTTGATGATCCTACTCTTCTCCTTCTTGTTACTTCGTTAGTCTCATCTAGGATTGATTATTGTAACTCGCTCTACTATGGTCTTCCTGACTCTATACTCTATCCTTTAAGTAAAGCTTTTAACTCTGCTGCTCGTCTAGTTGTTCGTGTCCCTTTCTTTTCCCATATATCTCCATATCTTGTTCTCTTGCACTGGCTACCTATAAAATATAGAATAATTTTTAAAATTTGCACGTTCATGTATGTAACGGGTTCGATATTAACTAAACGCAACGACAGATATATTATTAATCCTCCATTATTAAAACCTAACTAAATAATTAATCGAATAAACCAAATTAACGAAAATGCAACGATACAATAACCAACTTTACTAATGTCGACTCCGGCACAAGAGCCGCAGAAAAGAAAAAAAGGCTTAACTCATTTGCGCAGGCTATTTATAGACTTGCACTGTGCTCTCTCCTAGGTAAGCGCTTGTACTATGGTCTAGTAGCCAACCCACGTGACCATACGGCGCTCTCCCCTAGGTAAGCACACGTGCTTTGTGCTAGTAACTGGCCCACGTGACCATGTAATGGAACAATTTCCATTACACATGTATAAGTCTCAATCTAAATTATTTCCTAAGTATTTATCAGATATATTAATTGAACCTAAACGCCCCAATTTACGATCGTCTTCTTCTTCTCGCTTTTTCTTAACTCGTGTTAAACACTCTTTTGCCAAATCTGCTTTTGCTTTTTCTGGTCTTTTTCTCTGGAACTCTCTACCTACTTCTCTAACTACTTCTCCATCACTTGCGAAGTTCAGAGCGGATCTCAAGACCCATCTGTTTTCAAAATTCATTGAGGAGCGCTGTTGAACATCGCGGAAATAGCGCTTTATAAGCTAATTGATTGATTGATTGATAGTGTTATAATCATTTCAATCAACATCATTCTCATCCTTATCATTATTATCATATTCATAATCATCATGTTATAATCATTTCAATCAACATCATTCTCATCCTTATCATTATTATCATATTCATAATCATCATCACCTTAATTTTCTTGATCATCATCATCATCAAAATTGTTATCAGCTTTGTTATCATCACAATCATTGTTATCATCTTCGTCACCATCAAAATAATCTTCGTCATCACCATCATCATCATCATAATCGAATCGTAGCCATACCCATCAGCATTCTTATCATCATTATCAACTAACGAGTCCTTTCAAATCGGGCCATGATTGTCGTCTGCGAAATTAATTAAAACTTTTGTTTTTAACTTATATGATCAATAGAAACTATGTTAAAACTTTTAAAACATGCCTCATTTATACTACGTAAGTTAATGAAATGTGCAAGTACTAAGTCTTTTGTTAATAAAAGATAATAAATTAACTAGCAGGAAATTATTTAACAAGCTGTTCATAACACAGAACGCTATTAATGAACGATATTCAAACAACTGGATAAGAAATTGTTATTTTCAATTACATTATTATTATTATAATTTATTACTATTACATTAAAATTGTCATTTGAAATTTTTAAATTAATATATAAGCTCGTCAAAAGTAATAATTCAACAATCTAAAAATTAAATGAAATAACAATAACTACAATCAAATAAAATAACTGCAATTTTTATTTAATTGCTGGATGAACAAACAGATGAACTAACTTCTCGGCGTAGGCCACGTAGCAGAGAGCGAGACAGATGAGGGCTACCTTGAAGTTCATTTTGTCGATCTGGATCTTCTTCAGTGATGGATGTTTTTGGTGTGTTCGTGTCCGCACGTGTTTTCGTTCTTCACAACTTTTACATAACTCTTAATCTCATTGAATTACAACTTCTTTTTCAAGAGTCGTCGTAACAATTTGCCTGTGCTTGTTCTAAATTCCCCTGTTGACATTTTGAAATAAATGTAAAAATTTGCTAATTCAGATTTACATAATTTTGAGAGCTTCGTAGGAATGAATTAAAATTATTTTCACGAGTTTGATGTATTTGTATTTAAATTTGGCAAAATATTGTTGTTTTTCGAGAGAATGCGACAGCTTTAAACAAAAATTTATAAAAATTACAAAAAAATGTTGTTAAATTTAATTTTAACACTAACAGATATGTATATTGTGGGAGAGCTTCAGCCCCGAAGCTCCCCTTTTGACTACGCTTTAGCATTAGGTACATGAAATGAGCATCACCTACCTCTCCTATAAATTCAGGCCAGGCTAGGTATAAGGCCAGAATTCTGGTATAACTTTGTTCATTTAAAGTGAGTTCATTAATATTTTTGTCAAGTTTTAATTTAAACAGATATGTTAAATTTAAAAGTTGTTAAATTGTTGAAAAATAATTAAGTGGAATGAATAACATTTTCAAATTTATCTAATGTGAAGCTAACTAACGACAGATTGTATTTGTGGCTGCATCGGTAAAGATTTGTAACATCTGTACATGGATTGTTAATTGAAAAAATGCTAAACAACCAATCCAAAATATATTATAAATAATTCTACATTATAATAAATGTAAAATAATACAAATTTCAAATTATAGATATATTTTGCTTAGTTTTTTTAAACATTTAAGCATCTGATTTTTTGCATTAGGCATATTGATTTCATTTGGAAAGATTTAATTTTTGTCATTATTTGGTTATAAATGAGTTTATTATTATAAATAAATAAATAATACTCAAATAGTATATTAATGTGATTATAAATATAAAATAATACAAAGTTCAGTCATTAGCGTCACGATCGCAGAGATATATTTTGTCTCTCTAGGAACTTGTTTCTTTTGCATTATTTTAGCGTCTGCACTTACCTGCGTTGTTGCTTCTATTAAACTTTCAGTTCCTTCCATGCAATCTCACCATGACATCTCACCAATTAGTGTACCACTTATTGAAATGTATTGGAACGTTTATATTTTTAGCTTTGCGTTTTTTTTTATAAAGAATTAACCAACAATTTAATGGTTGGAGAATAATTAATTTATTTTCAAAACAGAATTATCTTAAAATTTTGAATAGTTTGATCAAATCAATTTTCAAATTGAATTAAAAGTTTCATAATCAGTTAGCAATAAGTTTCCAGTTTCATTTTGAAAATATTCATCCGACTATTGGACTCTGTTCGACAGTCAGTCCATCCTTAGAAAGGAACAGCCTGATTCTGTCCCATCTCAAGTCCTTGGTCACTGGCTGGCCGAAACGAACAACTTGAATCTGAATATGTACGTTTAGAATCGGATGCACTTTTTACAATCTACTTTTAAAAGCAATCTGCTTATATAGAGTTTTAGAGATTTGTTCGTGCCAGCATATGTTTTCATATTTTCGCAGCTTTTACATAACTACTGATTTCATTGAATTAAACTTTCATTTTCAAGTGTCGATGTTAACACTCTTGACTTTTTGAAATGAATGTAAAAACATGTCAATTCTGATTTATATAATTTTGAGAGCGCGGTAGAAATAAATTAAATTTATTTTCACCAGTTTGATATAAGTATATTTTTTTGTAAAGAATAACAATCCATAATTTTATTTCATCATTTCGATGTTCCAAGTTTAAGGACTTTGTTAAATTTTATTTTGAAAATATTCAAATTATAGTTCTTTCAAGATAATTGTTATTTTAATGACTGAAACTTAAAATCGAATATGACGACGTAAATAAATAAAATAAATTAAATGTTTGCCCTACAATAACAGACATCTTTTTCAAGTAGGCTTTTTCAAAGTCATCAGATCCTAAAAATAAATTTCAAGATCTCAATTTGCCTTTTGATATTTGGTGAATTTATTTTTGTTTAATTAAATCAAACCATTCATTTCTGAAAATTATATTAAATGTTTGTCCAAATTTTGTTACATTGGAGGTTTCGTTTTACAACACCATGCAATTTACATTACATGTAACAACATTACTGAATTTTATAATGTTTGGAAGAGACTTTCTACAAAATGCTGATACTGGTTTAGCAGAAAAAAATCTTATAAATACTTTCTAAAGAATAATAATTTGTAAATTATTCTGGTATGTTCTTTAGACTTTTGTTAAATTTTGCAATAAACCAGTGATTTCAAAATAGAAAATTGTAAAATTCTTCCATTATCTAGTGCTACGATGGAATTTTAGCCTGAACAACAACAACAGCCCCATTGAATCCTTTCCATTGTAAACTTTACTTTGAGTGAAGCTATCGTGCAGATTAACTTGCTATATTTTATTGCGAGAACTACCGAATGGCAGACAAATAATGATCGTATGTGAATATATATGTCATGAGCGGATCTAAAGACCCATCTGTTTTCAAAATTCATTGAGGAGCACTGTTGAACATCGCCGAAATAGCGCTAATTGATTGATTGATGACTAGGCTTCCGTTTTCAATTTCTGCACTGAAATTCTCTGTGGGCTTTGTTGCAATGCATTGTATAGTACTGTATTTTATTTTATTTTATTTTATTGCATTGTATTGCATTGTATTGTATTGCATTGTATTGTATTGCATTGTATTGTATTGCATTGTATTGTATTGCATTGTATTGTATTGCATTGTATTGTATTGCATTGTATTGTATTGTATTGCATTGTGTTGCAATGCTAAATATCGCCGACGATTGTTTTTGACATTTTCCTATTTAAAAACTTCTACATTATTTATCTAAAAATAAACAATAAAATGTTAATTTATATACACAATAAAATCAAGAAAATGGGTGATGCTTTTATATATATATATATATATATATATATATATATATATAATTATTACTGAAACATTTATGAAGCGCTAATTAAAGGAATCTCAAAAGCGCTATCTAACAAAAACTGAACTTAACAACATAATTGAAATAACAAACGAGAAATCATAATACATCGCACAGAAATAAGATTAAAATTTGGTCATAAACAGAAAAGTAATCGATTCAATAAAACGAAAATACGAAATAATATTTAGAACATGTCGACTAAACAGAGAGAATCGATCAATAATGCATCACAATGAAAATAAATGAGTTTTCAGTTTCTTCTTGAAGTCACGCAGGTTTAGGTCCGGATTTCTGAGAGCAGCAGGCAGGTTGTTCCAAACAGTTGGTCCAGAAACAGCAATGTTACGAGAGCCTATACGGAGACTCGTTGTTGGGATCAACAGCAGGTTTGAAACATCGGATCTCAAGTGTGTTCCAGATGCTTTTGAAGATCTCTTTTTGAACCTGTCAGACAAATAAGATGGAGCTAGACCGTTGATAGACCTGTAGACAAGTGTTGAAATTTTGAACAACACTCTTTTTTCGACGGTTAGCCAATGAAGTTCCTTCAATATTGGAGACACATGATCGTATTTTAGAGCTCCAACAACAACGTTTGCGGCTCGATTTTGTATTGATTGAAGTACAGCTATGGATCGATCAGGTAAGTCATAAAACAAACTATTGCAATAGTCGACGCGTGAGTGCACAAATGCATGAACCAACGTTTGCAACGTGGATGTATTTAGGGATCGTCGAATTTGATTGATTTTCCTGATTTGAAACATGCATTCGGCTGAGAGCTTCTTAATGTGTTGTTTCATTGACAAACCTGAATCAATCGTGAAGCCCAGATTAGCTGCTGTCTGACAAAATGCGATGACCTCATCATTAACAGTTATTGAATTTATATCTATTCTTGAAAGTTGCTGCCATGTTCCAATTGGTAAAAAAACAGTCTTGTTTTGGTTTAGTTTTAAACCATTGTTTTGCATCCACTTATTGACCCCAGACAAACATTTAACCAGTTTGTCCAATTCTGATTTTAAAAAATCTGGCCTGCTCGTAACAATAATTTGCAAGTCGTCCGCAAAAGCATGACCTGAAAAACCAAATGATTCTATTATTTTTAGTACTTCAGATCAGGAACAGAATATGACCTAGAACCGAACCTTGTGGCACACCAGACAGCATAACATTAACCTCAGACAATTTACCACCGAATGATACCTGTTGTGATACCAGATACGACTCAAACCACCTCAGAACAGCACCAGAGATTCCAAAACTGCAACGTAGTCTTGTTAAAAGTACTTTGTGATTTACGCAATCAAATGCGGATGACATATCAAGAAAGACTAGCATTGCCACATTTTGTTCATCAATTGCCCCGTACACTTCTGAGAAAACTTGCAAAAGAGCAGTTTCTGTCGAATGGTACTGACGGAATCCAGATTGATATTTCGGCAATAAATTGTTATTGTTCAAGTAACTGAGTGTTTGCCTGGCAACCACACACACACACACACACACACACACACACACACACACACACACACACACACACATACATATATATATATATATATATATATATATATATAGAAATCGCACGAACCAATTAAAAATATTGGGTATTACATTCACCTCTACACTTAATATAGCACCTCATACCAATCATATCATCACATTCAAACATTTCAGATTTCCCGCAGATTTCACGCACTCAAAACACTCCGCTCACATGGTCTCAGAGGCATCAAATTATTTGACATCACTAAACCACTTATAATCTCACGCATCAAATATGCAGCTCCCTCCTGATCTGGTTTTGCTACACAACAACAGCTTCAGCAACTACATTTCTCATCAAAAAACTAACTCGCCTCAACCATCTACCTGCATCATATCCTACCGTCACTCAGATATTCAACACACACGATTCAAGGCTGTTGAAGAAAGTGGAAAATAACAACAACCGCGTCATCCATCCTCTACTACCACCAATCAAAACTACTACACACAACCTTCGTCAACGCAAACATAACTATCCTTAAATACATCAATGCTCAATTAAACTTCATCACTTACTCAATTAAGTTTCCCTTTTTCTAATCAATCACTCAACTAACTTACTAACTAACACTAACTAGTCTATTAATACATTATTTTATATATTTGTCTTTTTAAACCATTAATTTTTTTTATTTTCTATACTTTTCATGCTTAACCATTTTTTCTCCGTTATTTTTTTGTTATCATTTTCTACTATTGCCTTGCATGCTGTAACAGTTTCTGCGTTTGTCAGATCCTGAATTTTTTAAAGAATATTTAAAAAAGAACATTGCGTCATTAAAAGAATATTGTATGGTAATTTGCATATAACGCTAAAGGGTCGTTAACACATGCGCGTACAGCTGGCATAATTTATGCTAAGAAATAATTAGCATATGCATAATTAGCATATGTGCAGTTAAAAGCCTAAAGGGTTATTAGTATTTTAGTTGCAGTAATCGAGAACACTGCAAAAAAATGTTCTCACACATTTTGATCAAATGTTTCTGAAATTAACATATTTACATTACATGCGTTCATGGTTAATCATAATAATTTTTCGAAATACATTTTTGTGATAAGGGCCATTTGAGAAGGTTATATGTATAAAATCTCTACTCTGTACACTTGCATGTAACATTAGACTGCAGTAACTCTGATAAGAATTAATGATATAATTTGCAAATTGCTCTGAAGTCTGTTTTATTCTTTGCTATCATACATTTTTATTCTCTTACTTTCAAAATTTTCCTTCACCAATCCTCAGCGCTTGTTGCCCCAAAAAAAATCAGCTGCCTTGGACCATGACCCTTCAAGTCCCTCTATAAATCCAGCCCAATTCCATGAAGATCCAATTTTTTGATAATCATACATACATAGTCATTTTGGTTGAATGCCTCGGTTTCTGTATGATAATAAACATTATAATTTTTTGACCCATATTTGTCAAGGAAGCGTTTTATTTAACCGACAAGTTTTCCATTCGTTAACAATTTCTTATTCGTCCGTAAAATTTTCTTTTTTTTCTTTTTCTTTTTATTGATTTTTATTTTCATTGCACCTTCGT